AGATCTTAATATTCTTTTTATCAATTAGTATGAGGACTTTATATACCAGGGTATCTGACGTATAGGAAATTCTAGATTTATTAAGGGACAGATAAGGCTGGCTTCTCTGCATTCTATAATAGTGGTTAAGAATTTGGGGCTGTGGAATCAGACTACCTGGGATTTAATTTTGTCATTGTTACTTTCTGGCTGCGTATCTTGAACAAGTGATCTAACTGCCTCAGTTTCCTCATTTGTGAAGTGTGAATAATAATTGTATCTATCTCATGGGGTTGCTGTTAGGAATCAGTAAGAGTGTATATGTAAAGTTCTTAGTACAGTGCCTGGCTGGGACTCAATTAGTGTGAACTTTTGTCACCACTATTATTTCCCCGATGACCTTTCCATAGTTCTGGAATATTTGTCCCTCTGCCTTTTCCCAGCCCAGTTATTAGGCTGTCTCATTTTGTGTTTTTGCAGATCAGCCAAATGGCCGATGACACAGTTGCAGAGCTGGACAGGTATCTGGCAGTGAAGACCAAAGAACTCCTTGGATGAAAATCCACAAGGGGCCAGCAGTAATCCAGAGCCCAGTTTGGGATGGATCCCATGAGTGACAAAGTGGCATCTCGCAGCCCCATCCACACGGAAGGCCGTCACCATGCAGTTGTCAGTCCTTCTGAGGGCTGCCCTTCCAGTGGGACACTCATACCTATCCACTCTCATCCTCCTATCCCCTGTCCACCCCATTCTGCTCTAGGCCTTCTGCCATGGGTACCCCTTGAAGAATATTTGCTGACCTTTACTTGGGGCATTTGCCTTGACTGTGACAACACCAAGCGACAGGACCAGTGGCAGACTTAGCACCACCTGGTCCTCATCTCGGGAGCCTCCTTTTCAAACAATTAGTCGGGCCCTGTCCCCAACTTTGAGCTCTGCTGAGGCTGATGTTGGCATTCACTTGTGGCTGGATACCTTTGCAAGAGGCCCATTTTCATCAACAATAAAGTCTAAATAAATTGGAAAGAATAACAACCACGAAGGAAAGGATAGAGTCAGTCTGGATTAATGATCTCTCCGGACCTGTATATAAAGCATCCAGAACAGTACTTTTGCCTCTGAGTCATCTTCACATGTGCTCTTGTATCTGCCTGGGCCATTCTTCCGCTGCTCACCTGGCCAGTCCTGTTCGTCTTTCCGGTCTCAGCTTTGATAGCACTTCCTCTGGGAAGTCTTCCTTTTCCCCCCTGCCTAGGACCCCTGTTATTGGTTGTCATAGCACTGTGTACTGCTTTTATATGAACCGTAATAATTCTTTTTGATAATTAGTCTGTATATCTTCAGGATCCTCAGAACTTGGCATAATGCCTGAAACACGGCAGGCATTCAAATGTGGTGTGAATGAAGTGCGCATAGTAGCTACTCAATGAATGCTGGCTTCTTTTCCTTTCTTTCCCATCTTAAAAGGATCATTCTGTCGTTTTCTATTCCTGCCTTTGTCCTCAACATTTACTTGGTAATGAGTCCCCCAGGACTTGCCTGTTATTGACTGACCAGTGGTTTGTTGTGCCTCATCTTTGGTTACTGGGTTAAGTTAGGTTTTTTCCCCCCCCAATAATTTTTTATTTCACTCATTTGTTCATTCATTCATTCATTCACATATAATAGAGCCATCTTAGCTAGATACAGTTCTAGGCAATATTTTTAATCTTCATAGTAAACTTGTGAGATGTGTCTTACCTCCATTTTACAAATAGAAAAACTGAGACTTGACAATATTAGGTAACTTGCCCAAAGTAACAAAGCTAGTAAGTGATAGAGGGTTTCATTATTCATTGTCAGTCTCATTTTATAGAAAGGGAAGAGCTCAGAGAGGTTAAGTTTCTTGCCTCGGGTTACACAGCTAGCAAATGGCAGACCTGGGATTCAAATTAAAGCCTGATCTAAAGCACGTGCTCTGCCCTATGCCTCCTGCTGCCGTCACAAACGTTGAGCACCAACTGTGTGTCAGGTACTGTGCTATGTGCTGGGAATACAAAAATGAGTAAGATGTGATCCCTGTCTTTGAGGGGCGCGTGGTACACTGGACTAAGTTGCTATCTGTAGTGTCTTGGGTGGAAGGTAGGAAGTTCGTTCCAGTTCTGCCAGATGTCTGCCTTTAGCATGGAACCCACTTGGCAGCGGCAGGGCCTGGCTGCGTTCCTTCAAGGCAGCATCCAACTTCTCTTTGCTGTTTGACTTCTCTCAGGTTCTGTCCTGTGCTAGAGGTAATGAGGGTTGTGCTTCTCCCTGTGCTTGCACTGGTGGAATACACTGCACAACAGCCAGTGGGGAGTCAAGGTCAGAATGAGGTCGAAGATGAACTAAGCTAGCACAGTCTCCTGCCCTGCTTACCTGTCCTCAGTCAAACCCTGTTCACCAGACCTGAGGAGCCATCATACGATCCGAAGTCAGCTGGGAAAGAACAGGGCTAGAAATAGCAATCAAGGAGCCTTTTTTGGGGTAAGCCACATGGCAGGGGCTTTGCAACAGTCTTTCGTGAGTGGCCGAAATCCCCCACTCACTCCAAATGTGCTTTTCAAAGATGCAGGATTTTTTAATAAACAGAGGAAATGATAAATTATGTTGTAACTCCACTCCAAAGGCATTTGGTTCTTAACAGCCAAATCCTCTGTAGTCTTTAAATAAACAAAAACTTATTTGGTGAACAGACGGGGGGGAAAATGAAAGATTTTCTGTACTTGGGTTCCACATGTCAACAATTTCTCTCCTGTGTGTATGTTGGCCAAAGCCGTATATCATGATAAATGAATAAAGGAAAACCTCGAGCCCAGGGCAGTCAGACAGCTCAGCAAATGGCTTTCAGCTGATTGCTCTATTTCAGTTGACATTTATCAAAGAGTTTCTCTGTTACTCTGTGTGTCAGGGCTGCCGTGGTGGCAGGGACGAGAATAAGACTACCTGTTTGGATGTGCTGAGTAATGAGTCATGCTGGGGCAATTCAGTCTCCCTCCTTCAGGCTCTCTCTCTTTCAAAAAGACAAGCTGAGTATGGCACTTCTCACACTTGGCAGAAGAATCAGCCACCTCCTCTGTTCAGTTTAACGGCTTTCAAAGTCCCATGAAAAACACAGGCCAAAGAGAATTTAAGAACTTTTTTTCTCTTAATTTTTTTCTTCTTTCTTCCGTGTGTGTGTGTGTGTTAAAAATTACAAAGAGAAAAGTTGAGACACTTCTCACGAGTTCCCTATCTTACTCCCTGTTAACAATTAGATGTATATCCTTCCAGACCTTTCTCTATACATACATAATTTTTAAAAAGCAGAGAGGGAACTATTCTGTTCCTATTCTGAAGCTTTCTTTTTTTGACGCAACAACATATCCTGGCCATCTGTCCGTGTGTGAAGATGTAGATAGAATTCATCCCTTTTCATTGCAATATTTCATTCAGTATTAAGTCATTTCAAATGCGTTGGAAGATGTTTCTATTTAAAGGGATTTTTTTTCTTGAGAAAGAACCCCTATTCTAAGTTTCTCTCTTTGGTAAGTTCTACTCTTCGTCAGTCTCAGACTAATATTTATTGAATGCCTGCTGTGGACCAGGTACCATGCTGGACACTTTACGTGTGTTACTACATCCAAACTTCCAAACAACCCTAGTTGATGTAGTGTTACTACTATCTGTGTTTACATATGAGACAAGTTTAAAAAGAGTGTTTAACTTACCCAAGGTCACACAGCTAGTAAGTGCCAGAATCAAGTTTGAAACTCAGATCTGACCTTGAAGTGGGTCTTAAATCACTGTCCTTTGGATTTGAAGTCTTCATTGAGCACTTACTCAAAATGCACCTACTACTACTCTGTTCCCTGAAGGTAATATAAGAGAAGCAGAAAGCTCAGCTCACTTTCATAAAACAATTAGAAAGCTATTTCTAATAAAGATGGCATGGAAAACAGTAGCTGGCACAGTAAACACTGAAGAGGAGGCAGCTTTTACGGAGACAGTAAAAATGACATATTTATACCTCATCTGCTTGGCAGACTCCTCTAGAATGTGTCGGAACCATGGAGTAAGCAGAAAGACCACCCGGTAGTGAATAATGATAACAACAACCCTAATGGTGTTGACAGCACCAAAAACTAATATTGGCTGGTGATTTTTAGTTTTCAAAGTGTTACATCCTTTATCCTGTTAAAACCATTGAGTGAAGCTTTGAATTTCTTTTGCCCTAATACAGCCAATTTTCATGATGTGCATGAAAAGGTATGTTCTCAGTTTTGGGGTACAAATTTTGATAGGTACACACAAAATGCAGTTTTTGGATTATGTTGTTTAGGTTTCCTGTAGTTCTTATTTTTTGACCCTTTGATGAGTCTTGGTTTGAAAGTGGTATGTTTCAGTTTTCTGTTACTAGCATTTCTGTTTCTCATTGCATTTCCTGTAATTTCTGCTCTGTGAAAGTGCTGCTGTGTTGTTGGATGCATAGACAGCCTGACTCTTGACGTCTTCTTCATCTCATTCGGTGCTCGGAGTCTGAATTCTGTCTTGTTGTATATCGAGATCACAGCCCTGGCTGGCTTGCTTTCTGTTTGCCTTTGCTTAGTCTGTCTTTCCTCTTCTTTTATTTTAGCCTTTCCGAATCACTATGTTTTAGGTATGTTTCTTTTTTAAAGTTGAATTTTGTTCTATGAACCATTCAGAAACTCCTTTTAAAAATTATCTTTGTGTTAAAATACGCATGTCGTCAAACTTACTGGCTTAACCGTTCTCAGGTGTACAGTTCAGTAGCGTGACGTGCATTCACGTGGTTGTGTGAGCAGTCTGCAGAGCTCTCTTCACCTGGCAGAACTGAAACTGCCCACTAAACAACTTCCCATTGCCCCCTCCCCCCAGCCCCTGGTAACCACCGTTCTACTTTCTGTCTCTATGAATTTGACCACTCTAAGTACTTCATATGAGTGGAATCATACAGGATTTGTCTTTTTGTGACTGGCTTATTTCACTTAGCGTGGTGTCCTCCAGCTTCATCCATGTTGTAGCATATGTCAGAATTTCCATCCTTTTTAAGGCTGAATAATGTTCCATTGTATATATACATGAAACTCCTTTTCTTTTAATAGATGACAAACTCATTTACATCTATTAAGTTACATACAGACTCTCCATCCTGGCATTCCATAACTTCTGCAGTCTGGGCCTGTTGTATCTCTTTACTTGTGATATATCTCTCACAACTACCCTCATGCAACCAGTGCTTAAGCTAAATGGAGTTATTAGTTTTTCTGAGGTTTTGTGCTGCTTTCTTTCACTTCCGTGTCTTTTCTTAGGCTGTTTTCTTTGCCTGGTATGTGCTCCTTTAAATCCCTGCCCCACCTGACAGGCAAAATTTATCTAGCGTCAAAGCCCTTCTTGGTCCCACGTCCTTCCTTGAACTAACTCATTCATTTCCTTATCTTGACATTTCTCCTGATGCCTAGACCTGCATATGCCTATTGAGTGTCTCCACTTGGATGTGCCTCAAGCACCCCATACAGCTGGCCCTGCCTGGACTCTGTGTCCCCCCCAGGCCTGCTCACCCTCCTGCATCTCCTCTCTTAGAGTAGCGTCACCATCCACCCAGGTGCAGGACATTGGGAGCCACCAGTGCTTTCCTCTCCCTCATCTCATCCGATAAGTCACCAGGTCCTGTCAGTTCTACCTGCAAAGTGCTCTACTCCCCTTTCAGGCACACCCTTGAGTGGTGCTTACCAGGGAACAGAGGTGGCAGATGTTTCAGGCTGGCCTTGTCAGTGTCTCTGGCCTCACCTCTGAGGCAGAACATCAGCACTGGATAAGCCTTGTTGAAGTCCCGTGAAAAAATCCCCTACTCTTACTCTTTGCACCGGACTAGCACAGTGCTTGGTGCAGAGCAGGTGTCAAGGAAGTGTTTGTCCAGTTGCAACGGACCTGCCAGGCCTTGAATACAAATGAAGTTGATTTACATCAATAACCCAGAGTTTCTCTAATTACTCTCACCTACTTGCTCAGACCTCCAAACTCATCTGCTAAGTCAGCCTCAGGAGTTTCTGGGCATCTAAAGGCTACCTCCCATGGTGTCCACAATCATTGGCATCTGCCATACTCTCCTCTCCCACCCGGGCTCCACTGGCGTCTGTGGCCATGAATGCCTCTTGAGGGAGATTTGCCTCTGCTCCTACTGAGTGTCAGTGTCTGTGACAAAAGTCCTGGTTCCTGGGCTTGCAATGCCTGAGCGTGCTGGGTGGGCTCCCTGAAGAGCAGGGCAAAGGTCTCTTCCCTCATCCCATGCCACCCTTGGCCACCTGAGCTCCAGAGCAGGCTTGTTGGGGTCCAAGTCCCTAAAGTCTCCTAGCACAGTGGCTCCTCCACAGGCTGACCACTGCCGCTGATGGGGCTCGCAGGTGGCCCAGGGGGCAGGGCTCCCGTGCTTTCTACTCCCTTCCAAAATTGCCCCCTCTTCAGAGGAAGTCTTGGAACGCAGGAGGTCTGGTGTCTGACCCTCAACTAGAAAGCCTCAATAAGTTATTTTAACTAAGGGACCAGGGAGCTAGAAAGGGCCTTGTGAGGTGCTGAAGTGGCCAGTGAGAGGTAGGTCCTGTTTTGTCCTTTCTCTCCTCAATAAAGGTCAGTCCATTTCCCCATGGGTACCAAGGAGGGCTTGGACAAGATCACTGGTTTCTAACTGGGCCAGAGAACCTTTGCTGGTTCATGACAGCATCTTTACTCATCTGGGGCAAAATAAGTAGAATAAAGGCAGTGTAGCAAATGTTTTCATAAAATTATTTAACTTAAAGGACTATTCTATATTCTTATATCCTGCTCTTCCTATTTCTGTTTTAGGTATTAAAATATTCTTTCTATCATGAAATCATAAGTTGATGATTCTAAAAGAAATCCTCATTTAGAAAGATAAAAAGTTGGTCACCTTCTGTTGGCCCTCCATTTTTTTTAACTTTACAGATGCATGAATCCCAAAGTCTGTGAGCTGTGGGACCTCACGCCTACTCCTAGTGCTGATGCCCCCGAGGCTGTCATCCAAGGGAAGCTGGAGCTGTAACCAGGGAGAGAAGCAATGGAGGGAGGCGGTTTGACCTGGTGGGTGTCAGGGACCCGGTGGGTGAGCAAGCGGTGGTAGTGAGGCAGGGGTTGGAAACAGGACAATAGTCAATCAGGAGGGTTCAGAGACCCACAAGGGAGGAGGGACGGGTAAGGAGAGGTGAGTCAGAGAGGAGAGAGGGAGACAGAGACAGACAAACAGAGAGGGAGAGAGATACACACAGGGCCAGAGAGAGGGAGAGAGAAAGAGGCAGAATCAGAGACAAAGACAGAAATATATGTGCACACGCGCACACATGCATACACACATACGAGCACAGAGATCAGCGGGTAGAGACAGAAAGATGGAGACAGTCGCAGAGACAAACGGATGGCGACAGTGAGACAGTTATTCTGGAGAGATATTCCGAAAAAGATACCTAGAAAGAGGACAGTGAGATTGAGAGAGAGACACAGGAGGAGATAGAAAAATACAGAGAGAAAGGGACAGAAATCCGGAGAGAGACACACACAGTTTTTAAAAAGGCAGAAAGAGAATCGAAATATATAACAGTGTACACCTGAAATGTATAATATTATAAACCACTGTTACCACAATAAAAAAGAATAAAAAATTTTTAAAAATTGTATGAATAACTAAAACAATTGTAAAACTTACGGCTGTAAAAATAGACTCAATGTAATCATGACTGTGTAGAAACTATATATAGCAAAATTTTGGAAGGAGTAAAGATGTTGGGAGGTAATGTAAGTATGCTGAGTTCCTCATATTACATAGCTTAGTTCTTTAATAATAAAAATATTTTTTAAGACCTGAAAAAAAAGGAAGAAAGGAGAGAGAGAAAGAAAGCAAGAAAGAAAAGAAAAATGGAAAGACACACATTGAGACGAGGACTGAGGGAGGTAGACAGAGACATGGAGGCAGAGAGTGAGCGAGGCGGGTGGCTTTGCACAGCCCCAGCTTCTGCAGGGGGCGCAGGGTGTGGGTGGAGGAAGAGGCAGCACCAGCTGGGGCCAGGGCTGCAGGGACCAGATAAGGACGCCTGCCAAAGGAAAGCAGGGGAAGGAAAGACGTTTACAAATCCCTGGGGGGAGAAAGCCAGGGAGGCTGCCCCAGGCCCAGAGAACAATGGGTACTTGACTTCAGTGGGTCATTAATGAGACAATTAATGGAAAGAGTAACAGAGGCCTCCCCAGGGAGGACTCAGAGAGTGGGTAAGTGGAATTATTGTGGAGGGCTTGTGGGCGGGCGGGTGGTTCTAAGGGGGGGCCTTTCCTCACAGTCCCAGATGTCCAGCATGCCAACTGCAGATTCCTGGCCTGGGGCATGGGCCCTGTCTCAGCTCCCCCACACATACCCCGTGCTCCCTCCACTCTGGCCCCTTGCCAGCTCCCAGATGCATCCCTAGCCTTTGCTGCTGCCACTCCGTCTACCTGGAATGTCACCCCTTGATTATCTCCATCCTTGGAAACCCTACCCGTTCCAGGGGTAAATAAATACGGTGCATCCATACAATGCAATGGTGAGCCAGGGCCATATGTTTCAACAAGAACAGAGCCCCCAAAACATAATGGAAAAAGCACGTGGAGTCGTATATAGTGTGACACCACTTACGTAAATTAGAATGACAAGCACAAAGCGATTCTTTTAAAAATTATTCCTGCCTATATTTTGCATTATAAAATTATTTTCTTCAAAGGGGCGGTTATAAAGAGATACTTACCAAAACCATAATAGTGATTGCCACGGGGAGGGGGCAGGACTTAAAGGTACCCTAAAGTCATTTCATACGTCTGTATGTCTATTTCTATGTATGAAAACTTGGCAAAATGTTAATTTCGGGTTGTGAAAATAGGAGTGGTTGTTACCTTGTTTTTTTTTTTTTTTAATCCCCCGTGCTTTAAAATCTTTTCCAGAGGAGAGAGAGACATCCTAGCTGTCCTCCAGACCCAGCTCAAATGCCACCTCCTGTGGGAAGCCTTCCAGGAACCCATCCACCAGTCAGATGTGGTTTCCCTTTTTCTTGGTACCAAGCTCTCAGGGCTGAAAGCGCTTTCTCCCATGTTTTTCCCTTTGTAATGTTCATGGATTGTCTTCCCTTCGAGGGCAGAGACTTCCAGCACAAGGCTGGCACAGAGGTGGTGCCCAGGGGTGTCTATGGGACTGAACTTACCTCTCCCATTCCACCACTGTAGAAGGCAAACTGCGAAGGCTCTGATTACATCTCAGATCCAACACACACTGTAATTTTGGGGGGTGGGGGAGTGGGCTCCTGAAATTCAAAGCATGGCTTCCAGAATGGGGATCTAGGTGTGGGGCGGATGGCAGCTGCTATTCAAAAATGTTCAGGGAGGAAGGAGAGGATCTTGTTTGCCGTGTCCAGGAAATTGCCCCATTGCTGGGTACCTGGTTGTTTGTGGCAACATTGCTAACAAGCCTCTAGCTAGAGTCCCAGCAGAGTTCCTCTCACCCACCCCAGTGGGGCAGAGAGGCATGTAGCTCCTTCCACCCAAATCTACCTATTAAAAGAACCCCTGAATCCCACTGGCCCCCAGTGCATCCCAGTTGCTGGTAAAATGGAGCCATTGCAGAGGTGGAAGGAAGAAGTACGTCAGTCCTGGCCCAGCGATCCAGGCAAGTGTTGGCCCATCCAGAGCCACAGCCACCACATACTGAGCATTTACAGGATGCTCAGCCCCTGAGCTATGTTATCTAATTAACTCTCACAATAGCCCCTATTTTACAGATGAGGACTCAGAGGCTAAGTGACTGCTCCAGGTCACAGGATGGCAGTAACTGTTGGAACTGGGACCCAGGCTGACCTGTTAGGTGGAGGGTGTCTCTTGGGTTTGGGTGGTGGGGTACACGGCTCTCCCTACTTCTAGGCAAACTCCTCTGTCTCACAAAAGGGGATACTGACGCACAAGAAGGGAACAACTCTTCCGTTGACAACGTAACAAGTGAGTGGCAGAGCTGGGACGTGAACCCAGATTTCCAGGCTGCTTCCGGCTCCCCTGGCCGCCCAGTAGAGTCTACCACCTAGCAGGGCAGACTTCATCTCGGGATGTTTAGTCCATTGGGCTTTGCGGTGTCTTACGCCTTCATAGGACATAAAACTGTAGCCTTTGGGGAGCAGGGTGGGACCTTAGAGATCATCTCCTTGGGCTCCCTCTTTGTAGTGTTGAGGAATTTAAGGCCTAAAGAAGGCAAATGACTCACAAGGCCCTTTTGATGTCAGGAAGTCCAGCCCAAAAAAAGCAGCCTCCTGATCCAGAGTCCCTTGGATTCTCGGAACCTATTGGCTCCAACTTTAGAACCGATTTTAATACTAGGTAACTTGGTAGCCAAACCCAGAGCCAACTGGAAACTATAAATTAGAATGTGGAGAAGGGCAGCTTCCACACAGAGCTGTCTGTTGAATGAATGAATGAATGAATGGATGGGTGGATGGCTGCCAGGCTCATTTCTGCCTCCCCCCCCTGGTTTCCCTTCCTCTGCTCCATCTCTTGCTGTCAGATTAATTCTCTTCAAACAGCCTTTGCCAGGACATGGCTCTGCTCAGCAGCCCCCAGGAGTTCCCCATTGCCTGGATAACTAACTGAACAGTCTCCTTCCGTAGCTGGCCCCTCTGAGCCGTTCTCCACATTGTGAACTCTTTAAATTGCAAATCACAACACTCCCCTTCAGAGGCTCTCCATCACCCCCAGGAAAAAGCACCAAAGTCTTACCTCAGGGTTTTAACTGCAGGGTTTGACCTGGACCATCTTTCCAACCTCATCTCATGCCAGCCTCTCCCTTCCTCTGGCTGCAGCCACACTGCCTTCTCTCAAGTTCCCACTTCAGGGGCTTTGCACATGCTGTTCCCTCTGCCTGGGGCATTCCAGACTCTACTCTGCCTTGCTAACACTTGTACATCCTTTAGATCTCAACCTAATGTCACTGCTTCCAGGCAGCCTTCCCTGACCTCTCCAGATTGGGTTGACACCCTCCGTCAGCTGTTCCCACAGCCACCGGACTGCCCCCAGCACTGCACTGTCCCATTTGACTGTGTGTAACGTCTTCAGTGTCTGTCTCCTGTCCATACTATGAGCTCCGAGGGGGCAGGGGCTGTCCTGTTCACCATCAGGAGCTCAGTGCCCGGAACGCAGCCTGGCACACACTGTGTGGAATGATTAAATATATTTGGTTGTTCATTGAAATTGATTTATTCATTCAACAGATATTTATGGAGCATCTACTAAGTGTCAAGCCTGGTTCTCCACACTCCACAGTGGGGAACAACCCACCTCGAAGACCCTGCCTTCATGGAGCTCACAGTCTACTCTACATTAAATGGATAGAGAAATAACACAATGCTAGGCGTACCTAAGCTTTCTGAAGGACAAGGAGCAGGGGTAAGGGGTTGGAGCATGGAGCGCGCGTGCGCGGTGGGGGAGGGGGCGTGCCGATTTAGACGGGGTAGTCAGGGCATGTCTCATGGAGGAGGTGACATTTCAGTGCTGGGCCAGGACTCCTGAAAGACACAGACCCTCTCTCCTTCTTGGGCTGACTGGGTCCTAGGTGTGTCCAGGCATGCCAGTCTCCCGATCCCCAAACCCTCCCTGCCTGCCTCCCAGGGTGGGGGAGCAAGGAGCCCAGAAGAAGTCTTTGGCGAGGCTTTTGAGGCGAGTGCGAAGGCCCGAAGCTGCTCTTCACAACATCTGTGATTGGGCTGTTTCTGCGTGGCGCGGGGCGGCGATTGCTTTGTGCAGCGAGGACTCGGCTGATTGTGGCCGGGCAATTGGCACCCACAGACCGCGGCCGCCAGGGTTTACCGTGCACCCCCAGCGCCGCGGCGAGCCGTGCGCAACGCGCCAGCCCAATCTCGCCTCCTATATTCAGAGTTGATTAGACGCTATTTCTGCCTGGATTTTCAGAAGGCTCAAGAGCTTTTTTAATCACTACAGTGGCTCATTACGGTTTTGCAGTGACACTCATGTCCTTCAGTTCTCTTCTCAGATTAGATTCTATAGTCAGATGAATATTGGATGATTTCATTACATACAAATGCAATCAACAGTTTTGCATAAATTTCTTCTCTTTTCTTGAGTTTCAATTGACCCCAGCACCCATGGTGGCAGGCGCGATCCACATGCAAATGAGCCGGGTTTGCAGCCACCGAGAGGGGCCGGGAGAAGGCGGGCACTTGTACCAGCCCAGGGAGGGAGCCAGCCTTGATTGCTCAGGTTTGGGAGAGGGGCCTTGGAGGAGGGGGCGCCGCTTAGAGGGCAGCTTCTCTGACTGAGGGCACCCTGGTTCGGGATGGGGTTCCTGCAGGTGGACTGAGGCAGAGGGATGCTCAGAGTGGGGCAGGCTTCGTCTCTGGGCAGAGAAAGGAGTGTGGAGTGTCAGCGGTGGCTGCTGGGCCAGTCCTGGTGTGCTCAGGACGCTTGGGGCAGTGGCTATTTAACAACTGGTGTGGATGTGTTTCAATATTTTAACAACTGGGAGGGCCTTAACAGTGCCTTCCTGCTGAATGTTAGCTCTGACCCAACGAATACTGTTATTATTATTATCATAATCATCATCATTATTTCTTCTGGAGGGCTTGAGCTATGGCCATGAGGATGATCAACAAAAGTCAAAAGCCAGCCCAAGGCAGATGGGACAGTTTGGAGCCTGGGGCAGTGGCTGTTGCATCACCTTCTTGTTTTCTTTTTTGGGTGGAAAGGCAGGATCTTCTCAGAATTGAGCCTCAGAAGGCTCCGAATCCCTCCTTTATCTGGTGACTGAATCCTTTCCACCACATGCCTGTGGAGAAGATACCAGCCCTTGCTTGTTCTCCCCTGGGGGTGGGGAGCTCCCTCCCTGCAGTCAGTCTCTTCTGGCTTACTTGGCTCCTTGCTGACAGGTGCTTTCCCTGCCCTGACCCTGGGCCCTGGGCCCTGGCCCCACAGTCCACCTCTGCTCCCTCGGCTCCATGACAGCCCCTGAGGTCAGCAGTGGGGCCTGCTCTCTCCCAAGTTTCCTTTCCTAGGGCTGGTCTTCTCCATCCCTGCAGCTTCTCCTCCCAGGAAGTAGCCTCCAGCCCCTCCCCTGTGTCTGTGCTCCAGATGCTCCTGGTGGCTGTCAATGTTCGTAGTCCAGGCCTGGACCCAACACCAGGCATGAGGCTGGAGGGTAATGTGGGGAGTAAGCTGTGTGTGGTCAGGGTCCCCAGGGCTAACAGCTGTGCACCTCATGGAGGGTGGGGGGACCGGGATGGAGACATTAGACCTGAAAGTCTGCTAGGACAAGGGTCTGTGCATCCCAAACCACTTCCTTTAGGCAGGTTTTTTATAGAAGCTCCCCATGTAGACACAGACATGACACAGACAGTGTGGGTCAGGGACCCAGAGAGGGACATGTGGATGCACCAGGAGTCAGAGACCCATCAGGGATGTGACCCGAGCTCCAGTTGTCATCATGGACACATCAGAACCCTGAAGCCAGAGGGTAGAGCCAAAGTTACAGCCATGGACATGAATGAGACCCATTTGTGCTGGCACAGCCCCAGACTCAGGCCCCTGCCTCTCACTGCCCTCAGCTCCCTGCATCAGGATTATAGAGATCCAGGAATCTGAACTGATGTAGGGGCGCTGGCTATTGCCCACATGTTGCCGATGAGACCACTGAGGTCCAGAGAGGGCAAGGTTGCCAAAGAGCCACACAGCATTGAAGCCAGAGCCTCCTGATACAGTCTGGGAGCTGCTTCCCTGTTCCTCTGGCTGTCCCTGAGGACCATTCCCTTGTCATTCTGTCCTTCCGTGTGCAGTCCTGAAGGTCCTGTCTTCCCCAGCTGAATGGACCACCCATCACTGCCTGTGCACTGCCGTCTGCTGCTTCTTAGCCTCCCCACACTCCTCTTTCTGTTTGCATCTCGTGTACATTCCTCTTCCCTGTCTCTCCTTGTCTCCATCCTTGAGTCTGTCTCTCTGTCTGTATGCCCCTTCCTCTCCTTTCTCCCTCTCTTTGCCTCTCCTTTGCCTGGCCACATCTGCCCCTTAGCACTCCTTTGTGGTACCAGAGCTGGCCTCTGTCTGGGATTGGGAGATCTGAGACCGCAGGGCCACACCCCTAAGAGCTGCAGCCCCTGGGAGGAGGAGGTTGGGTGTGGGGGTTGGTTTCTGAACTCTTCGGAGCCTTCCTGCCGTGGGCAGCTCTGGGCCATCCATTTTCTCCCCGAGTCAAGGACAGCAGGAAAGCAACCATCTCTCATCACAGACCAATCTCACTGCGGCCTGGAAGAGGGGGCTGGGAGTGGGGGTGGGCAGGGGTGAAGAGGGCTCCCATCGACTCCTCATGCAGGCGGGGGATCATCCTGTCCAGGCCCCTGTCTTCTAGCTGGGTCCAAACCTGCTGCTGTCCATGGCAGGCTCCCCTGGTGGGAGCCCCCCTCCTGCCTACCCTCCCTCCAGCTCCTCCTGGCAGAATGAACCTGTTCCCCTAACCCAGTTGAAATCTGGTCCCTACTCACCCCTTTCACCAGGCACAAAGCACTGCTTTCCTCTGGCTCCCCTGATTTCTGATTTCACTCCTTGGCATCCACAGGGTAGAGAGCTAAGAGCTGGCCTCCAGAGGCTGGAAGGTCTGAGCCAAATCCCAGCTCTGCCACTTGCTAGCTGGGTTGTCTCAGGCAAGTGACTTAACCTCGCTGAGCCCAGTTTCCTCCTCTGTAAAATGTAGATAATTCCTTCCCTTACAAGGCTGGCGTGAGGATTGAGTGAGCTAACTTAGGTGAAAGTAGCTGGCAGAGAGCTGTGCACAAAGTAGACATGGGATAAAGCATTTGTTATAAATACATGAGTGAGTAAATAATGAACAAATACTAGAATTTAGATGTGTAAATGGGGCATGGAGAAGGAATGCCAGGTGTCAGGAATGACACAAACAAGAGTGTGGAGTTAAGAAATCTTGGAGGGGAACAGGGAGCCATGAGCGCCCAATAGGAATGCAAAGTCTGGAACCCAAAGAGAGGTCTCAGGAGATGAGTCTAGACAGTCTCAAGGCTTGAGGCTGACAGTCTCAAGGGGCAGGCTCAGGGCTTTTTTTTTTTTTTTTGGTGAGGAAGATTGGCTCTGAGCTAACATCTGTAGCCAATCTCCCTCTTTTTTTGTTTGAGGAAGATTGTCCCTAAGCTAACATCTGTGCCCATCTTCCTTTACTTTGTACGTGGGATGCTGCCACAGCATGGCTTGATGAGTGGTGAGTAGGTCCACCCCTGGAATCTGAACCTGTGAGCCCCAGGCTGCCAAAGCGAAGTATGTGAACTTAACCACTAAGCCACTGGGCTGGCCCCATTTGTTTGTTTTCATTTTAAGTTGAGCATCCCTTTAGCAGGGAAAGGAACAGTGAGAGGATAAGGAACTTAGTGAGTGTCGACGATGCACCAGGCAGCTAAGAGTAATTGTAGCAGCAGCCAGCAGGAATAGAGCCCCCTGCTGAGGCATTTTACAGGCATTATCACATTTAATTTTTACAGCAACCCAGCTGCCCTGTGAGGGAGATGCTATTATTATTCCCACTTTATAGATGAGGAAATTGAGACCTAGGGCAGTAAAGTGATTTTCCTGGGTCACACAACTAATAATTGTCCCAGACAGGGTTTGAACCCTGGTCTAGTCTGGCTCCAAAGCCACTCCTCAGTCCCCTTCCACAGGGAGGACCCCCCATAATCTCTAGGCAGGTGGTACCATGTGAATAACTGGCTTGAAAACACTTTTGGTTAGTGAAGGAGAGTAGGGAAGGCACGATTGGAGGGCCCAAATGTCAATAAGATAGAAACTTGGCTCAGATGAATCAGGGAAGCCTTCCTGGAGGGGGCTGGGCACAGAGGGAGAGACAAGGCCCAGAGGTGAGGCTGAGGCAGCCCTGGTGGGGGTAGAGGTGGGGTGGGGGTTGTCACCCCCAAGTGACACTTGGGTACTGGGGCACTTGACTTGGATCTGCTTCTTACTGGGGTCTGTTTCCTCCACCCCACCTAGCCCAGCTAGTGCCTTCTTCTGGTCAGTCCCCAGAAAAGTGGGAAGGGCAGGTTTCCGGTGACTGCAGACCTGAGCCCCATTCCCAGCTCTGCTGTGCTCTTGCGGCTGCACTTTGGCCAAGACGACTGCCCTTTCTGACTTTACTTTCCCCGCCCGTGAAATGGGGCTAACAGTGCCCACAAGCTCGGTGCAGCTGA